ATAATATTTCTTATGATTATCGTAATCTCTGTCATTTTAGTTTTCATTGCTATTATCATTTTCACTATTATGATTATTTTTTTAATTATTAGTCATTATGATTATTATCATTATTACCATTATTGTTATTTCTATTATTGTTGTTATCATTATCATTATTATTATTCTCATTATTATTATTCTCATTATTATTATTATTATTATTATTATTATTATTATTATTATTAATATCATTATCATTATTACTGTCGCTGCTGCTTTTCTTATTATCATCATCATTATCATTACTATCAGTTTTATAGTTATTATTATTTTTGTTATTACTCTTATTATCATCGTTATGACTACCTCCATCTTTATCATTATTACCATTGTCATTAATATTTTTGTCATTTCTATTTCCATTTTCATTGCTATTATTATTATTATCATCAATGGTATCGTTGTTGTTACTATAACCAGAACATTTACCGTTATCCTCACCATTATTGCTATTATAACTATTCTTATCGTTATCATTATTATCAGTATCATTACCATTACCATTGTCATTATTTTTTTCATCATTATTATTTTCATTATCATTACTACTGTCATTGATAACATTGTTATTATTATATTCATTATCATTTTTTTTACTATCATCATTACCATTAACATAAATACTCTCCTCAGTGTTATTGCTATTCCCATGATATTGTTGCTGTTATTATGGATATTATTATTGTTTTTATCATTATCATTATTGGCTTGTTACTATCACTATTATTATGATCGCGTATATCACTCTTATTATATATACTATTGTTACTATTATAACTAATTTGATTACCTTTTTCACTATTATTATTATTATCATCTTGTTTGTTTGTTTGTTTGCTTATTATGGGTGCTTTTGTCATTATCAATATTACAAAGGTTTTTATGGTTATCCTTATCATTATATTATCATTATCACTATCACTATCCTTATTGTTATTATTATTATCATTGTTATTATTATTAGGACTTTTATTATCATTATCAGTACTACAATTATAATTCTTACTAATATTACAATTACTATCATTATTTCGCTATCATCTCTGTGATTATTATTATCTTCAACAATATTATCATCAAGACTATAATCATTATTTCTATAATATGTAATAGTAGCTAGCTAGTTCGTATCATTACTATCATTATCATCATTATTATTATTGTTATTATTATTATTATTATTAGTAGTAGTAGTAGTAGTAGTAGTATTGTTATTGTTGTTGTTGTTGTTGTTATTATTATTATTATCATTGTTATTGCTATTATTATTATTATTATCATTATTATTATTGTTATTATTACTATTATTACTATCATTATTATTATCATTATCATTATTATTATTTTTATTATCATTATCATTACAATTATTATTATTATTATCAACATTATAATTATTATTACTATAATAGTTATTATTGTCGTTATTCTTATTATCATTATTATTATCTTCATCATTATCATTATTACTACTTCTACTTTTTATCATTATCACCATCATTGACGTTATCATTATTATCGTCATATTAATATTATCATCATTATCATTATTATAATTATGACTATTACTATTATTATTATATTATTATTACTTTTATTATTATTACTATTATTATTATTATTATCATTATTATTATTATTATCATTATTATCATTATTATCATTATTATTATTATTATTATTATTATTATCATTAATATTATTATTGTTATTATTATTATTATTATTATTATTATCATTATCATGATTATTATCATTATTGTTATCATTACCATTATTGTTATTATTACAATTAATAACAGTAGCAGTATCAGTACTATTGCCAGAATGATATGATCATTATTGTTATCATAACCATAATCATAATTACTTTTACTATTAATATTATCAATATTACCATTATTCTTACTACTCTCGTTATTACCATCATCGTTATCTTTGTTATGCTTGTTTTATTACCATCATTATTGTTGATATTATTTCTACAACTGATGCTATCACTCTCAATGTTATCATTACTACTATTAATATTAGTATTGGTAGTAGAAGGTTATCATTATTATCATATTTTTATATTTTTATCATTATCCTTATTATCATTAGCATTATTGTCATTATCAGTATTATTGTCATTATTATCATTATCATGTCTATTATTGTTATTGTAATAATAATTACAATTACTTTAATATTAATATTGTTAGTATTACCATTATTCTTACTATGATTATTATAATAATTATCATTATCAGAGCTATTATTATCTTTATTATTATTACAATGATTAATGTTATCATATTATTGTTATTATTATCATGGTCATTGTTATTTTGACTATTGCTGTCACTATTTTATTGTCATTTACAATATTGTTGTTATTGCTATTGTAATTATCACTATCATTTCTTATTATTATTACCATAAGTGTTACTTCTGTTATTACTATGATCATTATCAT